CGGCCATTATGAAAATTTATCGATTTAGTGACAGTTTAAGGACACACATTATGGCCGGCCATTTGTTATGTTTTTATGGTTTCGTCGTATGCCTGCTGCTAATGTCAATTTTTGAGTGTCGCTGCCACATTAAATTCTGCGGCATCTGGGCTAACAAAAAGTCGCCAGTGCGGTGCAGAAAGGTGACTTTATTTTATAATTCATTTTATTATTATTATGTAAGAGTGCGGTGTGCAAAGCAATTACAAGGGAGTGAGTGATTAGGGGAGTCTGTGGGGATCATAAAAATATTCCTTCCTTTATTCTCCACATTCATTCTTTTTTTTTCGGGAGGCTGGGTTTTTCTTTTCATACAAATACAAACATAAAATGCGCATAAAAATGCGCGGGCGGGAGAAAGCGCATGAAATAATCAACAGTAACAATGGCGGGGAAAAGTGAAAAGGGGGTGTTGGTTGCCATTGCTGCTGCCATATGAGTTGACAACATCCAAGTTTATGTGCACTGGAAATAAAGGGGTCCCTAATCGTTTTTCCACTTAATTGCAGATTTTTCCTCTCTCTGAAAGTGTTTTGATAACTTATTAAGATATGATCTTGAATTGCCATTCTAGTAAGAGATCCTTTAAGGAATGAATGAATTCCAAAAATCGATCTGAAAGACTATTTCTTGCTGTGTGCATGTGTGTGAGTGACATCTCAACCAGCTTGGCCGATGACTGGGATGTCCTAATGGTCTTTTGCCTCCTGTAACTGACTGATGTTTGGCACACACACACACACACACTCACACTCTCGCCCAGCGACGCCATAATTAATGATGAAAAATTGCTACCCACACATACATACGCTCGAACACACACTCACACACTTGGACACTCAACATATGCAACAGAAAGATGGTGGATGAGGGGGAAAATATAAAGCCATTTGGTTTTGTACGCTGGAAATTAACATGAAAAGGGCAAAGCGCAGCTGCCATTCGCGTTTGGCCGAATATGTGAGATCGGTCCGAAAGCCCCACTCCGAAGTGGTCAATGCCAGAAGGTCGCCGGGAAATAAGACCGAAAAAAGAAAAGCCCCCGGAAAAAAACACATAAAGTGGCGCACTAAAGCTGCGAGCTTGGCAAAGTGATTAAATTGAGTTAATTATGTCCACCGAGAGCGGGATACGGAGCGGGGAGAGTGTGTGTTAGAGCAAGACAAATACCAGTTTGAAGTTGTACATAAATTATTACAAGGATATTAAATGCGGCGCACAAAACGGGGCGGGATTACCAGAGTATTAAGTGCATATTATCAAAGGCCGTTAAATGCCAGAAATAAAACATTTCGCCTGTGTGAAATTGCTTTAATCAACCCTTAATCTTCATTACAACAAACACTTTGTCTTTGTTAAATCTTTTCAAAAGTTTTCCCGCTGTTCTCCTCTTTGTTTTTTTTTGAAAATATTTCTCATTCAAAAAGCATTTTGCAGGAGTGAGTTGCCATTTCGATTGAGTTATGTCGCGAAAATTTGCCTTACGAAATCGAAGTTCTATCAAAGTTTATCAAAAGCCAAAAGCATTTAATGGCTCTGCAAAATGTTTTCACCATTTTTTTTTTGTATTCCTCTCTTATCCCTTTGGACCAGCCCGCTTTTTATTTGAGTGTGTGTGTGTGTTTGTGTTTTTTATGGTTAGTATGTTTGGTAGCCGGGCTGTTATCTAAAAACCCGTTAAATTTATTATGCAACATTGCGCGCGGGTGGAAAATGCGATTTCTCATTCGATACAGATTCAGGTAAACATTCGCCGTGTGTGTCCGGCAAATAAATAAAAAAGGCGAATATTTTCTGCTGGCGCGTGTAGCGCCAAATAAAACCCAAAAAACATTAACAAGCGGCGGAGAAAAAAATTTAACTTAATTGCCAAACACACACACACACACACATATATACACGCACACAAAAGGGTGTCGTGTTGTTGCTGTGGTTGTGTATTTTCCGCGGGGGTTTTTTCAACATGGGGTTGGGGTCGGAGAACGGGGCGGACCTTTCTGCTCTTGGCGTGCGTGCGCCGTGCGATATAATTTATGTTTCAATAACTTTCGAAACTCATTGAAAAGTCGCTTATGTTTGCTTCAATGGCAGCAGCAACAACAGCAATAAGAACAACAACAGCAGCAACGCACAAGAAGAATGCTAAAAGTACAACAATAAATTGTTTGGATTTACTTATGCGAAGGGGGCGAGGTGGTGGGAGGCATTGGGTGCCGAGTTTTCCTTAGAGCGCCGCCACTGCCATTTCCCATTTTACTCAATTTTTTATTGTTGCTGCACTTGAGCGACCCCGCTTTGTCTTCTCACCCGCAAGAAAATTCCCGCTCAACTTGCAAAAGTTTTTCGCTATTTTCCCTCTCATTCTTTTTGCTTTTCTGTGAATGTGTTTTGTTTGCCATTTGCTTTCATTTTGTTTTTCCTCAGCTATTTTCCTTTTTTTTTTCGTTCGTTTTTTATTTTTTGCCTCCTTCTTCTTCTGCCCCTGTTGTTCATTTTGTGCCCTTAAAATTTATTTGCAAGTTTTCTAATTTGTACTTCACTCCATTTTATTGTAATATACAATCTCATTTGAAGTGAGATATCTCAGGGCATCTATCTAACGCAGAGAAACACAAGCACAAAATGGGAAAGGGTCGGGTGCAGAGAGAGAAATTAGTGGGGTTATCTAAGTAGTTTTGCGGGATAAACAAGAAAGTCTTTGAAAAATATCACAAGTTTGTCTTTCCATTTTTATCGTATTTTATCCAGGACGAAAAGGTCCATTATTACAGACTCCTGTATCTGTTAAAAGTATTCCCAACCTTGAACTTATCTATATACCCATCAGAACTAAAGCCCTCATTTCTCCCTGTGTAACGAGTTAGCGGTAGGAGGTGGCCTATAAGTATGCAATGCCTGCTGATGGCTGATCCTGTCGGTGTATCCTTGTATCCTGTTTCGGGACTGGGGCGCATATTTATTAACCACACTGTTGACTCTCGCTGCGGCAACTTTGCGTGCAGCTTGTTGCTCCTCTCTGTGTTCCGCCCCTTTTCCTTGTCCCTGTTCTCGTCCTCTTTATCCTTCCTCGTCTTCCGGTTTTGAATTTTGTTGTCGCACCTTCTCAGGAATTCTGTTTACATTTATTACTTTGCGCAAGTTTAAGTGAAAAATTTCCATAAACATTCTTTTAAGCGACATAAAGTTTTTATTAAATTTTGCTAGAAATCCCTGACACGATGATATCAGGCAACACAACGGCAACAAATAGAGCTGCGGAATTTACAACTACCAGAGGGTAGAGCACACCTGCCACTGCCACAGCCGGTGTCAGTTCCACCCTTAAGACACTTTTCCAAGGGTCGGAGGTTGTTGTCGCTGGCAAGAAGGCGTGCCAGTGGGAGAGAGAGGGGTTTCAAGGGAGGAGAAGTGCCAACTGTTTTACTGTTGGCAGTACGAGATACTACAGCTACAGCTTCTGCTGCACGCAGTTCATAAAAATTTTGCCAGCCAACATGACATGCACAAAGGCGAAAGGACACACGGCGCTCCTGCTCCTGCTTCTGCTCCTGATCCTGCGAGTGGAAAAGAGTCAGGAGCAAAAGGCAGAGCCAGAAATGCACGAAGGTGGCATAAACTTTCGTCGCTTGTTAACCTGAAAGCTTCGCCGCCACTCCACTGACATTAGATGAAATTCAATTAAAACAAAGATATATTTCGTTGGACGAATTCCAGCAGCAGTTGTTTAAAACGGGTGAAAAAATTCTTCACAAAAAGATAGGGAACTTCCGCGCATTGTGTATACGCCCCATAAAACGCTTAATTAGTGCAAAGGGAAAGCGGAGCATAAACACTGCCTTGTTGAGCGGTCTTTAACTTTCTTTGTATGAAGTGTTAAGAGATTCTCACAGGTTTTATATTTAATCACAATTAGAACTTTAAATAGTAAGAACTGTAATAATTAAAAGAAAATTGCCGAATAACCTGACTTAATGTCAATTAAAACTTTGCCATAAAAAACTAATCATAAGCCCACTAATTAGCTGATTAAGAAAGCTGTTTATAATTACTAGCTCTTAAATTTTATTCGGTGTATATTGAAATTGAAATTGACTCGTTTAAATGCCATCTCATTATTCATACTGTCCGCAAAAACCAGCTAATTTACGTTAAGCATTTTTAAATAAGGTCAAAGTACAGGACTGGGCGGCTGGTGCTTTCGATGGGGTATTGGCCACGTTCAGCCAACCGAAAGTTGATCGAAACCGCAACAAATGACAAACGTTACGGGAAAAATACACAACACAACGCAGACGGACATGGAAAAGGGGGAAAACTCCGAGTAATAGGTAGAGGAGTAACATACAGAGAGGGAAAAAAATAAAATCAATGAAAATGAAAACCAATTAGCGGTTAACCAAACTGTTCAAATTTGGAAATGGATGCAGCCGTGCATGGCCATAAACAACAACGGCAACAAAGATGGCTGAAGCGCACAGGATTCCTGGCAGATGAGTGATGGAGGGGTCAACGGCAGCCAGGCAGCTCGACTGAAAGGTAAAAGGTTGCCGGGTTACAAATTTATTACACGAAAATAGCAAATAATTAAAATCAGTTTCAATGCGGATAGCATTTCGCATAGGATGGGGAAGAACTTTTTGATTGATAAATCAAAGCCAAAAGGCGAAACGGCCTGGAAAAGTGAACAAATTAAAGAGAAACTAGAGGGGCTTTTTGAATACAAGTGGCAGGATAGGTAAACTAATATTTACAAAGTAATTAGGAATACCTACGTTGTCTTCGGATATCAAATATCATGTCTTTTCTTTAATAACATTATATTATAAGTATTAGAACTTTCACCCTTTTAACTTAATTATTTCTCCCCAAAGATTCTCCCCAACAACCTTCACCTTATCCCCAGAAAATAAAGAAATCAAACCTCTTCAAGAAGTAAACCCCTTTCATAAAGCACCACTCACCTGGATCTGCGCGTCGTGGGATCCTTCATGACCATAGCCTCTGAGATATCACCATAACGTCCGAAGTAATCGCGTAAGCTCTCTGGAAGAAAGATAAACAAATGCAGTGAATAATCAATCAAAGCAGGTTTTTGGAATGTCCTGGGGCTACACTCAAGTACGGCCATCAAAATCACGACGCCAAAGTTACTAATTTCGTTACGCGCTTAATAAAAATAAACCCAGAAACAAAAAAATATAAAAAAAGCGAAGGGGGAAGCGAATTTCGCGTGATGCCCAAATAAACAAACTGGTTGGGGACCCAAAACTTCTTCTTTTCCCTTTCGGGTTGAGGGTCTCCCTCTTCCTCGCCCCTTTCCAAACGCAACTGGACATTATTCACATGCATACTCGCAGGATACACTCAGAGAAATCGAAGTAATGTGTAACCGATTTTAGGTTGTTTTGTGTCTAATAATAAATCTAAAAACAAGGAGGAACTTTTCATTTAAGCCTTTTTTTAACTCAAGATCGAAAATGAAGTTTCTCAAAGATGTTGCAAACGTTTTTTATATATATATTTATAAGCTTATAAAACCCTAAGCCAAGCTGATTTTCCACATAATTCCCAAATCTTAACTTATGTTTTATAATATTTCTCCGCCTGTAAACACACACACAGTACACAGACCACTTCAGACTCGCTGCTTTGGTTGCCAGCGGCAGCTGTTGTCTGCGGTTTTGCGAGCTAATCTGACTCTGACTCCGGCCGGAGGATGCGAATGCGGATGCTGGATGGCGGATGGGGAAGCAGGACTCCACCCGGCTGGAAGCACTTCAGCGGCACGTACGCACACAAACGCAACACTGAAGTTATTTCAACAAAATTGCCAGACAAACGGGGCCACGGGCGGGGATTTGTGGTGGGGGAGGGAGGCTTTGGGAATGGGATCCGCACGACAGATACCAAGGCTCGTTGGCTGCGATTTAATGCAGCAAAAACAAGCAGAATAAAACCGATAAAGTCATCTCTCGCCCAGCTCGAAGGCTGTTGCCGGAGCGGAGAGAAACCCTAATCCAGTCGAGTGTCGACGCCGGCGTCATAAATTCAAACTACAATAAAAATTCAATAAAACAAACGATTTTGCCGCTCACGCCGCGTGGCCAAGACGCTCCGGCCATAAATGTGGTGCGAGAAATCGCACCAGGGAACCAGTAGCACCACTGCCACACCACTACCCCAACCCTAAAATCGCAGCACCACCACCAGCTAACACACACGCACCAAAAACAAGGCTAGAGCAACTAGTTGCGCCTTCAGTCGATGCAAAAAGTACACTTTAACAAAAAGTTTCTAGAGTTTGAAGGGAGTTAATTACAAATTTAGTACAAGAAATAATAAATCTATAATAAATTAGGGTTAATTTCGGTTTACTTGAGCTATTATTGCTTAAAGACCCCAAAGAATATTGTTAAACCCCAGCAATTTCTTACTTTTTCTTTTCTTTCTAAAAGTCAGCTGGAACGTTTAAGTTCTTACTGCAGGCTGAACTATAAAATTATTCTAAATTTATTCCAATATATACTTCTTAAAAACTTAAAATATCCATAACATAAAGTAACATTCTTCCCATTCTGGACTACATTTTTTACAAGTGCATGGAAAGTATGGCCATTGTAAGGGTACGAAAAAAGAGGAAGGAAATGGGGAGGAAAATGGGTGGCTAGGGCGGTGGCGGATGGTTCCACACGCAGACAGACAGTCAAGTGGGGGCAATGCAACGCAAAACGCGAAGCGCGTCGCGTGATTTACATAAGTATGCACAATAATTATGAACAATAAAAAACAATTTGTTTGCTTATGACAGTTTTGGAACCATAAATAACAACAGCAACTGGCGCAGCGGTTCGAGTGGCATGTGGATGTGGAAAATGGTAGAAATGGTATGAAAAGCGGGAAAGGGAGAATAGGGGCGAACGTTTGTGTATGTGCGTGTGTGGCATGCAAATTGATGGGGCAGCCAAAGGGTTGCGTTCCATTTCGTTACGTTCGTTGCGTATGTGGCGCTGCAAAGTATGCTACACTTTAAGTTTTAATGGGCAATTGCCCCACTATGTCCTTGGGCGGAGGGGAAGGCCTGCTCTGGACAGGGGAGCGACACTATTCTATGGCATGACTTGGCCATTAGTTGAAGTTGAGGTGTAAATAAACCAGTTGGAGTAACCCACTCTCTATGGCTGTGATTGAGTGGGTCACAGGAAATGAGAATTCGCAGTTCATTCGTTACGGTCGCTCGTGGAGTAACAGCGAGATTTGATTTAAGAAGCAATAAGTTTAAATCTTCAAAGGTACCTGTTTAGTTTATAAATCATTTAATTTACAGCTTAGTAAATTTCATTTTTTCCAATAATTAAACTCATTTAAAATCCTTTTTAGTTCACCCAATGAACTGCCCTCTGGCATAAGAACTGCGATTTATTTTTGATTTAGATGTGACACTCTCCTGCACAACCAGATTCCCGGTGAAACGGTAAAATGAAGTCATCATCAACGTGTCAATCAGTGTGCTACATCTCACCGCACACTATATTTCGGGCAGTTCGTTGTGTATGTCATACCTTTCCGCCCAATTAACCCCTTCGCCGTTTCTCACAGTGCACCACATCCCCCTACCCACGGGGTTTTGTAGACCCCTCTACAGCCCGCCTTTCAGTCATCCAATGCGACGTTCAGTTTTGAGTGACAGCTGCAAAGTTTGTTTTGCATTTCATATTTGCGAGCTCGTCTGCTGGCCCCGCAGACCTCCTACTACACCCCTCTTTAGCAGAGCTCAGTGCCAACTGTCACTTGACCGGCCAAAACCCGCCTCCTTGCCACGCCCCCGCCCAAAAACCAACATGGCCAATAGAAAAGCTGGCAAACAAAATAAATGTGTAAATGTGAAGAAGCAAAAAACTGGCAAAACAAAAATGGAAATGGTCAACAAATTAAAACGCGGCAAAATAAAAATAAAATTAAAATTTATTTGCTACCCAACGGTTGTGAAAGAATAAAAATAAAAATAAAATAAAATACACATAACAAAAAAAAAAAGAAGAAGAACGAGCGGAGGAAGGACGAAAGGAGCAGCGGCAAGAGAGAGCGAAATATATTGTAACGGGCCAAAAGCCAAACTTGGATTTAATTAAAATGTTTACCACAGTCATTTCATTTTCATAGCCAGCAAACATAAATTTTGAAGAGGCAAGCGTGCGCGAGCGAGAGGGGCGATGGACGATGGACCGCAGAGCGAAACAGCTGCAAGAAAATGCCAAAAACATTAAAGTCACCGCACCATACTAACGCAAAAGTGGAAATTTTGATTGTTGCATTTTTGGTTTTGGGGCAAAAACAATAAGCGATAAACAAAATAGGTTCAATCTGGAAGAAGGAAATGAATTTGCAGGTAATTAGTTCAAGCAGGCACACACTCACACACACGCAAATACACACGCACACTTACACACAAGCAAATTTATCCCGAATCCATTTAGTGGGATTATTTATAAGAAAACTTGGGTGCCCCTGCTTTTCCACCCAAGGCAATCCGTTTTGCGGTTGCAGGCATATTAACCCCTTAACGTTCTGCCAGCCCTTAACCCCTCCGCCGCCACCCTGCCCTCGAAAAGGTCCCCAATAGGCCACCGCACATGTTGTCAAAAGCACAATGCTGAAACCATAAATTTATGTGCTTTCTATTGTTTTTGCCAAAGAAAGCGGAAGTTGTGTGCTCTTTGCGGTGAGCTGTGGTACTGAGTGGGGGGCCGAAAGGGGTCTTGGGAAATGGGGGGAAAACTACACAGCAGCAAAACAGCAACAAAAACAGCAACCAGAATGAGTGAAAAAGGTGTGCGCAAAGGGATTTCAATCAATTGTAAGGCGAACTGAGGCAACTGGCAGCCAGGGCAACAAAAACTCAAGCTCAGCTTCTGTTCCGTTCCGTTTAGCTCTGCTATGACCTACACTAAGCGAAAATTCAGATGAAAAGTTAACAGAATATAAATAGAAAAGCAACTTTAAAGCTTGCCAGATTTGCCTAACATTTATTTCCTGCAATTGTTCTGATTTTTTTTAGATATAAACAATAATTACGTACCGTAACATTTTATAAGCACGAAACTATAAGTGCAATGTTATTAATTATTAAAAAAAAAAGATTGAAGGAATATTTTAAAAATTAAACTTACAAAGTATTGACAGATAATAAACAAAAATAAACAAATCTTATGATTGGATTTTCAAATCTGGATAAAATAAGCTTCCTTTACCAGTTCTCAGAAGTTTAAATACGAGTATGAGAAACCATAAACAAAATTGTTAAAACTGTGAAATAAAAAATGTATAAAATCCATTAAGATTACCTATAAAAACTTATACAGTATTTTAGCTTAAGCAATTATTATGTAATTCGTAAGAGCAGACCAACTAATATCTCTACTTTTCCCCCAGCGTATCGTTTTGTTGGAATACGCAAATTGCTATTTTGTCTGAACAGCAAACGAGATGGCAATTCACTGGAAGACAGAGATACCAAGATGGAGGCAGAAAAGAGATAGGGCGTTAGGAAATGAGAGAGAGATGGGTAGATGGACCAGTAGAGCCTGTTGTAACACATCCCGGCCGTAGCATCATTTTTCATGCGCTCCAACAACTTTTGACAAAGGTCGGTCAAGCAAGTCTTAAAAACTTTGCGACAAGACAACGCACGTTCCGTTCCAGTCCGCCCCCTTCCCCTTTGACACCCGCCTGACCCCTGGAATCATCGTCTTGCGAGGGCCTGCCTTTCGCTTAGTGAATTACGCCGGCTTTAAGGGGTTAAGGTTCAGCCCCCCGAGGGCCACGGGTAACAGTTGTCGCTGTTTGCTCTTCGCCCTAAGCCGTAAATAATAATATTTGGACAAGTTTCCAGGGCGAGAAATCAAATTGAGCGAACCTCTGATGCTCTAGGAATATTTTAAAATAAATAAAAGTAAAAATAAATATATTAAAAATTAAAAGTTATTGTATAATAGATGAAGTTTTATAAGGCACAACCCATTATCACTATTTATAATGACTAAGAT